CTGTACTCCTCCTCTAGCAACACCAGAACATGTTTGATGCTTTTGGATCCGAAATGATTGACTTGGTCTCATGAGACCAGAGTATGGATTCCCAGAAGTCTCTATTTTGTAAAAATGGGCCTTGGAAGAGGTTAAATTAGTTTTTTTTCCCTTTGGCTACAATAGGTAATTCTAGTGGTGACAACAACCATGTATGTCATCTGTGAGATAAAGTGTCACTCTTTTCATAGCTTTTGCCGGCTCTGAGCAAAAAATCACACATCACTAAATGAAAACTTAAAGTGAAGACCTGAGTATTTCAGGAGCCTTATCACAAGTCCATTGTTTTTTAATGTTGGTGCTACTTCTGCTATATTTTCACACTTTAAACAATAATTTGGTATTCCTCTTGTACCATGCTGCCAGCATTAAGTCTGAGTATGATTCAGTGTGCTATATAACACTTTTAATTGTCAGGAAATTACTTGTCTTTAAAAGTTTTGGTTTAATATACTTACCTGTTGATCAAAAATAGCCTATACACTTTTTTTAAATTTTTTTTTATTTAGTAACTTTCAGGAGGGTGTACTCATTTTTATCACTTTGATAAGAAAATCTTATTTCGCTGAATAATTTTGGCATTCTTCTTTGGTAATTGATCAAGCATGCTTGTTGGAACATTATATCTCCAAAGAACCGTAAAATGTCTTCTAAGTAAAGAGTAATTGCTGAATTTGTTAAATTTTAGAGAGGGGTGTACTCATTTATGCCGTGCACTGTATATATATATATATATATATATATATATATATATATATATATGTTGTTTGTCTTAATAAATTGGGCAAATTAAAAATAATTTTTTTTAGCTACATCGCCCAACCCTAGTTTAGCCATATATTAGCTTGTTATTGAGAGTGTTGGATTATAGCTATCCCAAATCACTCTGTGTTATGTGTTCTAGTACTTCAGGATAAAATTAGCACTGAAGCAGACACCCTGACAGGCACACTCACATATCACTTTTCAGGTTCATTAAAATAATAGTACAACTGCTTTTGTTCTTCATAATAGCTGTACAGCATTATTTCTGCCACCACACCTGCCCTACAAGCATAAAGCAATAAACATAAAGCAATATTTTGTGGTGGAGGATAGATTCCATTATGACAGCTTGTGCGTTTTCCTTTTTTTTTTTTTTTTTCAATGAACGGCAAAAAAGGGAATTCGCCAAGTACAATAAATAAAAATTAATGCTTGAAAAGAATTGTAACTGTCAATCTTCCTCTGCTTTTTGTAGGAGCTGCTGTCTCTTGCCAAGAGAAAGCGTGTGGATTCTGATGAGCAGGAAGAGCCTGTTAGTAAACCTGCCGCCTCCACAGACTCTGAGACATCAGACAGTGATGATGAGGTATAAAGCCTTTCTGTTATAACACTTTGCTGCTGATTTTTTTGGGGTTTTCTTAGTGCAATTAGACATTTTGGATATTCAATACATTTGCTTGAACTAGGGATGTCAATTTTCGTTAATTTTCATGATCGTCGTTTAAATTAACGATCAATTAATCGTTAACTTTAATGCAGCAAAATGCGTCTATTGCAGCAGCATGCAGTCACATGACAGGATGTGCAAAAGCCACTAAAAAAAAAATGCTTTCTCACCCGAATTAAAGGGGTTTTAGTCTGAATAAAATGCTAGTAGCAGGATTGTAAAATTAATAGATGTGATTATGATCATTTGATAAAATGAAGAGAGCGAGCCGAGCCGTACGTTTGAGATCATTTTACTTTGTTTCCTATCCTGACACAGAGACCGCTGAACACGCCTCTTTAAATGGTTTTGTGGTGCTCGTTATTGTATTTTAAAACACTATTGCAATGTTTTCAACTGACATTATGGCATTTAAAATAAAATTATCCCAAATGTAACTGTGGCGCGTGTGGCTGTGCTGCGCAGTCAGTGAACCGCTTCCATCGTCGCTGCTGCAGCAAAACACACTGTTGCTAACATGAAACATTTTTATGTGAGTATTATGACCAGTACTTAATTTGATCCTGCTGGATCCTGTTC